AAACGACAAAACTTGTTTCAGGTTTTCATCAATATCTCGTCAATTTAAAAATCATGGACTTGATACAAGTTCGTTTTATCTTCGGTTTTATCGGTAATACTATCCTTGTCTCTCTCTTTCACAAATCAATATGCTAATTATCTCTGCAAAGCTTAAGCACAAATTCGCTATCCCTTGGATGCAGGGAGTGTTATTTGCACTGGTAGCATAGCTGGTCATGTGTAATATATATATATATATATATATATATCCCTTTTCCTCTTTCACTCTTTTTTTCCTTTTTTTTTTTTTGGTTATTTCTTCTAATGATTTACATATTTGGATCCTTAGGCCAAGTTTCGTAGCTATGTACAAAAACAAGTCAGCGGGTAGAGCTTTACCACCCCATAGACTTGTGCAACTTTTTCTGCACAATATATTGTGGTTTTTCTATGGCATTGTGAACAAGGATAGTAGTTGTCTTGTTTCAACCACTTGTGCCGTCTATATGGGATTGACAGCTATCTACTTATCCGTTTTTTTCATCTCATGCGGCCACCAGAAAGACCTCTGTGTAATGTTTCTTCAAATTTTAATCCTTCAAAGATCTCTCATAATTATACTGATGATGGTGATGATGATGATGATGCATATGTGCAGTGGTTCATTGTGTCACGTCTTATGGCTGGGATCATTGGTGTGGTAGGGACTGTTCTCATCACGTTTTTCTCAATTGAAAGTTCCTCTGCTAAACTAACACTCCTTGGTGTTATGGGCGAAATCTCCTTCATATCTCTTATGCTACAAGTTCCCATACGTTCACTGGTAAAGTTGTATATATCTCTCATCGACTTATGATCAATGTATATATAGCATTTGATATTTATATAACATTTGATTAACTTAGCAACAGGAAATTGCAGTGGTGACAAAGAGCGTTGCGCATATATCCTTTTCGAGATGTATCGCTACTGTCATCAACGGTTTGGTTTGGGGTGCTTACTCTTGCATCTACATATTCGATCCCTACCTTTTTGTAAGTATTTTTTTAATTTTATTCCTAAATTGATTTTCTTTTGATTCATTAACAACATTTTGTTCTTTTTGGTGTATCTGTAGATATGTAGTGTTATTCAAATATTGGTGTTTACTGCCATGTTGATAGTCTATGCCCGCTACTACAAATCTACTCCACGGGTGAAATCGGATTAGATTTTATTGTGTTTTTCTTCTATTCACTTTATATTGTGACTTTTAGTTATTCCAAGTTGAACAACAGTTTTAGTATGTCATATCGATCTTCTAAACATTTTGGCAGCAAAGACTGGTTTTACTCTACAACCACTCAAGTCAATCCATTGAATAATGTCTCTTATCATGTATCTGTTAGAGAAAGTTGTAGATGTTACACCACTATAAAATAAAAGATTCCTGGGATAACAATCATCGATGAATAAAAGTAAACAGAGGAAGAATGACTATTTTAAACATTTGGGATAATTTTGACATCATTTAAGGTAAATCGTGATTCTTACAATCTCTTCCTAGCAATACTTACATAATCTTCGACAAAGAATGTTTTAACAGAAATACACATCTGAAAAATATAAAAGACGATTCTTACAGAATCTTCGACAAAGAATGTTTTGACAGAACAGATACACATCTAAAAAAATATCATTTGGTTTCTATTGGCTGTTTATTCTTTCAAAATACAAAGAACTTTTGTTTCTGTTGAAATCTTAAATTCAGCTACACATGATCCTACTTCATGCCCTAAATGTGACATTCTTCCCTCCAGTGAAAAGCACATTTTGGTGAACCAAATACCAAATGTTCGAATGGAAGAGCGGGACAATTGCAGTTTCCCCACACTTACAGTCATGCATTGTTTTACCATCCAAACGGAAGATCATACATGCAGTTCAATATTTTTTTTTTTTTGTGAAAAAAGTAGGAGATCTGCATGCAGATCTCACCCACTAACATTTGATGCTGTTGATATGTTTTTTTTACTAACAAATGATTTTGCTACAAGCACTAACTTTAAATATATTTATTTGATTTTATAAATAATGTATAATAATTAGCTCAAACTATATAGTTCACACTAAATACTATTTGTGTCACTTTTAAAATTATAAACAAAGTATTTTTAAAATTATAAGTATGACATCCAGTAACAGATAAAATACAATATTCAAAAAGATACAAAATCTCACTATATAAATATCAACTAAGAATTTAATAGTAGTAAAATGCCGGTTCTTCAAAGATAATTTTGATCAACTAAAACGAAAATAGAAGAAGTACAAGCATCTTATGAAAAAATCAATAAACATTTCGGCTGATTCTACAACATTTAAGATATTTATATTGATATTTTGGTATACATTTTTATTGTTTACTATATGATATATAGTTTTGGACTGATTTTGTCATTCATAATTTATAATAAATTATTTGATTTGCATCTCTCTTGCATGATCCGCTTGATCTGCACTTATCTCGCTTGATCTACACTTGTCATGTTTGATCTACATGAACCGCTTCATATACTTTTACCATTCGAAGCCTATTAGGGTGCATTTTAGTCTTTCTAGATATGTTTTATGTTTTCTAACATGTCACGATTTTTTATTAGTCATCGGGATCATAGGAACATCTGGAGTTTGATGATTGGATGGAAGGTTGGATTATTTTGCGGTTCATTGTTTAATGTTAACTATATGTTTTTCTCCAGAAATAAAAGTTTTAAAATAAATTTATATTTAAAAATATAATGTAGTTTATTTTTAAATTTATTATTTTGTTACATAATTATTTTTACATTAATTATATGTAAAATTAAGATAAAATAAACAACTTTATATGAATTATATTTAATACTAATATGTATGTATATATTTAAAATTAAAATTTTGGAAAGATTTTTTATCTTTTCTCTTTTGATTAAAATATGTTAAATCAGATTATATACAATTAAGAGAAAATTTTGTTAGATATATAATTATCAAAATACAAAAATAAATAATATTTCTAAAATTTATAGATGTTATAAATAAAACTAACAGTATTGGGATTAGAAAATTATAATTCTTTTAAAAACTAGCACAAATTTTTGAAAAAAAAAAATTAATAATAAAAAATTATATAGTTATAAAAAAATAGCCTTGAAAAATATTTCAAAATTTATAAATATTATTATATTTCTATTTCTATTATTATATTATTATTATTAAGTTAATGATAATATATAAGTTACTACCATATTCTAAAAAATTACAAATATATATATATATATATATATATATATATATATTAAATGTAAATGTATATGTCATAATTAATTTCATGCCATGTGTCATTATTAGTGGATATGTTATTATTTTTTGGTGAAATTGATTATGATAATGATACAAGTCAAAATCAATTCGTAAATAATATATAGGGAAAATCAACATATTATCACTAGTATTCGTAACTTCTAAGAACATCCATATGAATATTCTTATTTTTTTTTCTTGTAAGACCCGTTTATATTTCTCCATTGTTCGTCGCAACGAAGAGGAAGAAAAAAAAACTTTTATTTCAAAATATTGTTAGAAAATTCGAAAACCAGAAAATGTATATAAAAAATCAACAATTGATAATTAAGATGCCATGTCTTTTTCTAAGTGCTACTAGTTTGTATTAGTTGTAAGTGTGGCTGTTTTTCTTTTCTTTTTTTTTTGGTAAGAATGTGGGAGGTATACTCCCAACCTTTATTAAAAAAACTCAAGATCCAACTACAAGCGTATTAGACGAGACCGGAGAGGTCCATCAATATCATCTTGTATCAGACTAGCAACCTCAATGGGAACAACATCAAAATTATGAAAACCAAAAGACAAAGAAAAAGCAAGGTTAGCTAGACCATCGGCAACGCGGTTAGCTTCCCTATACACATGAACAACTCGGACCAACCAGTCCCTCTTTAGAAAGCCATAGCACAGATGTACTAGGAAAGATAAGGGATGAGTATCTTCAATCCCTATCGTCAGAAAATCCACCACCACCTTCGAATCCACTTCTATCTCCAGCCTTCTAACTCCTTTTTCCCAGGCAAGAACAAGGCCATAATATACTCCCCAAACCTCAGCCAACGGAGCACTACATCTTCCTATATTAACCGCAAACCCTCCACACCACTCTCCTTCCCCATTTCTCAAGACCCCTCCTGCACTCGCCAAACCCGGGTTTCCTCTTGAAGCTCCGTCCGTGTTAATTTTCATCCATCCCTCCTGAGGCAGCTTCCATCCTACCAATACTGCAGACCTCGTTACATCTCCCTTCCCCTTCTTCTCTCTCTTATTAGCTACCGTCACTTCCTTAGCCAAATTCTTTAAAAGACCAATTCTATCCTTCCATAACTTCTTCTCTCCAAAAACATTTCCACATCGCCATTTCCATCCCCACCACACTGCGAGTGCGAAGCTTGTTGCCCATGGTATTCCGGTCCCTGTATCGCTTACACTCAGATTACGCCACTGCGAGTGTGGCTGTTTTTCTTTGTATTACTTGTAACTTGTAAGTAGGATTGCTTTATTTATATTTCCAAATTTGGAATCTATTCATACCTACATACTGGAGTATTATTTATAATATTTCTCAAATATTCTGGTGCTGGCTATTGTAAATTTGTCGCATTAATTTCAAAACAGTTACAGAGTACAGATTAATAATTTGAAACTATTGGTAGACATGATTCAGGATTGGTATGACACATCACAACACTTGTTATTTAATTAAGAAAGAATCGTTGACTTTTAATTATGAACGGTTGCAATAACGTTTCCTCGATTTCTATAAACCTTATATTAAATATAATAATAATTGCTTTATATTATTTTTGAAATATTTACAGATTTATATGTTAAAATTAGAAAGTATATATATAATGCCAATACGTTTCTTTACAGCTTCAATCAGTTTCAGTTTCCCACCAATATTGACTAAAACCTTCTCTCTCTCTCGGCCCAATGGAAGTTACACATTCCGACCCGGCCCAGGATCCAGAAACCCGATACGATCCACGTTGCTGCTCCTGTTTCCCCACCTTCCGATCAAAAACCTCCCCCGCCGTCTGGGGACGAATCCGAACCGTCGACGACAACAACCACATCCCCGACGAGCCACGGTGGTGGAAACGCGCGGCTCTCAAGATCCGAGAGTGGTCGGAGATCGTAGCTGGTCCACGGTGGAAGACGTTCATCCGGCGATTCAACCGCGATCCGCGTCGCGGCCGCGATTGGGACGCGGGGGAGAAGTTTCAGTACGATCCGTTGAGTTACTCTCTCAACTTCGACGATGATGACGAAGACGATGAGTACGTTGGGGTGGGAGGTTACAGAAGCTTCTCGACGCGGTACGCTAACGTTCCGGTACAGTCTGGTAAATCTCCGGCGATTTCTCCGCCGTTGGATTCTTCGTCAAACGCGTAAAAGAGGTGTTTGGAGAGTTAGTTGGGGAAACGCGTTTGCGTTTACCTTGTCAAAGATGGTTGACTGTTTAGTTTTTGTTTTTTTTTTTTGTTATTATATTTTGTGATAATTATTAAAAATACGATCAACTATCAATTATTTGTTTATTAATTAATCATCGATTTTTGTTTTAATACGTTTTCTGGGGGAGATAATGATGTAATTAGCTGTACAGCATATTTGGAGAAGTAATGTTCAAGTTAATCATATGATTTTTTAAAAAATAATTTAATTATATGGTTAGTTGCTTGGCATGATTTGTTCATTTTTAATATTTTAATTCCTTTCAAATCTCTTTATAATTCGAATCAGTGACAGTTGGTTTTGTGATTCTGTTAACTTTACAGGGTTTATCACACATTTCCATGATCAAATGTTTATTAAAAAATTGACAATAATTCGCCGCCGGGTTCGTCTTCTGTTTTTGAAGTAATGTTATTACAAATATATACACATATATATATATACCTAATGATTTATATATACAAGTATTATATAAATTTATATTCGAAAATAGCTCATGTACATATATAAACCTAGCTAGATGATATTTGTGTTGATTAAAAACAATTCAATATTTAAATAAAACACACATATATTGACAAAGAATCTCAAAAAGATTAAGTTCTGAGAATATGTATAAAAACAATTATATTTTTATAGCTGTAAAAAGAAAACAAGTGTGAATACATCCAGGAATATTCAATTTAATATAAACGTGATTTGAGTTTAATAGATTTTAAGATGATGTTAGGTGAATTGGCAAATTAATTTTATTTATGTTAAATCACTTTTGAATCTCATTTTTTCTGAACTAATAAATTTTATCATAGTACTCTAAAATGACTAGAAAAATTACGAAATGTACAATATAACCATAGATTTTATCAAATAAAAGTTCAACAATAATAATAACTTCTTCATTTTAATACGACTTTTTGTATTTTTATTATTAAAAACATAATCTAACTTTAAAAGATTTTGTTTTATTTTTTAAAAGATATCAAATATGAAATAATACAATTCTATTAGATGGTGAACATGTTCACCCCCCCCCCCCCCCCAAGAATAACTCTTTTAATATACATCATATAAAACTTTTAATTAGTTATTTTATTTCGATTTGGCTATTGAGAATAAGTAAAATTAAGATAAGTAGTAGAGTATCTTTTAACTTTAAAAAAAAAAATCAGAAACCCTAAAATTCCTCTGGGAGCGAGGTTCAGGATCATAGTCGGTCGCAGCATTGATCCCTACCATTTGAGAGGTAAACTTTATAAGAACACAATCTCAATCATCCTTTGATTCGACCATTTGCATTATTCTAAACTTATCTTGATAGGTATAGTTATTATGAAAGTGTAGCATTACGTTGTCGTCTTATTTATCGTGTGGTTGAACAAAATGCGATTAATTTTCTAATTAAGATCAGCACTGTTGGATTTCATTTCCACCAGTTTCTTGAAACTAGACCGATCATTCATCAAAACAAAGATCCATTGACTTCTATCTCTGGTTCTTGGTGGTTTTTCAACAGTTACAATAATGGTGCATGGTGACAACAATAACCGCCCTGAGTGGGTTGCTTGCACTTCAACATCTCCTGATTTGTATAGGCATCTTCTTGCCGAAGAAACTACAACTAGTCTACCTCTTAAAGAAAATTCATCTCTCACACATGAACCTACTAAGGTATGTCTCGTCTTGTAAGCCATGTGGTTTAGTTAAACTTGAAATCAGAGTTAGCATCCCATCTTCTAATTAACTGACTTGATTATTAGGTTGGAGAATCGTGTGAAGCAAGAAGGAGGTTTTCAACAGCCAAGTCCATATCTTCTACTAAGTTTTTTGGAGATCACAAGAAATCTACACTTGAGATGGTCACGCTTAGACCATGATCATGTCATGTCATACACTTTTTGTATAACTTTGATGATGAACGTTTGATTTGGTATTTTATTCACAGGTGATGAATGATGTCTCATCGCTCGTAGGCAAAACGAAGAAGAGTCTCGAAACTTTGAGCTGCTTTATCACTAGTGGTCTAGAGTGAGTTTAAATGTGATCATGATGATGAAACATTTTTTTTTTGACATCAAACGGCTGATTTATTATTCAAGTTTGAGGTGGTCTGGGAATCCAGACCAGAATAGAACAACCTACATACACCAAATCTCGATAAAAGGATCGAGCAGTCTTAGCTAGTAAATCAGAAAAACTATTATGTGTCCTAGGCACATAGACAATTGATGAAACATTTGTTTTGGTCTCTAAATTTTAAAGTGTTATTATACTCAGACCAGGCCATGATTTGTGATAAGATATTGACTATATATTTCTGTTTGTTTGCAATGGACAGTGGTTTAATATTCCCCAAACTACCAGGGGATCCTCGTGACATAGAAGCCCTCCGTAGGGATGTGACAGATTTGATGCAGAAATTACATGGTGAAGAAGCTAAAGCCATCCCTTGGGACACCCGAATGAAATGGGTCGACGAAGTGTGAACGAGTAAGCTCCAGTACTACATTCAAATCTCTAACCATGTTTTGGAGCTTTCCAGTTTTTTTTTGTTTCTAATAAACATCATTTTTTGGTTTGTTTATTCTAATAGGTCGTAACAGTTACATATGGGGTTTGCACGAACGGCCATTCTGGAGGCATAATTTTTAAGCTCCGAAATGATGCGTGGGACTTGTTAGACCTGATTTTAAATGAGAATGTTGAAATGACCAAGATTGCTTAAAATTTTTAAGTGTACTAATGTAACACCCGTTTTATTCTCTCTCAAGAGTGATGTGCCACTTAGTTTGATAGTGCCTAGCTTTCATTAAAACTTACCCTTTTGAGTATTGCTTCTTCTAAAACTCAGCATGCAGTCATAAATGTAAAAGCATTTCACTGCTAAAATGTTTGTTTGTCTCAATCTCTATCTACTTATTCCCTGAAATTGGATTTATTGTTAAACACAAAATGCCATGGTTCGATTCGATCAATCACTGGACCAAAAAACCATGCATTCTCATAATCTGGAACATACTTTACCAAGAACACAAAACACAAAACAAAATACTTTGCCAAGACATCAAATGTTTCTTTTTTTGATAATCCAGTATCCGACCACTAAGCGTGATCGACTAGCCCACCGCGCCTAAGCCCATGCCATTACAGGATTTTTAAGCCTCCACTTAAGGGTCCATGGTTACTGATGTAGCGGAAGCTTCTAGGGATAGAACTAGATCCGTTAATTCTAAGAATATCCGGAAACTAGGGTTTGTGAATACTCTTCACAGTGCTTAATTAAAAGCTCTTAGGGTTTGAGAATACTCTTCTCAGTGGTTTATAGAAACCTCTTTAAGAACAGACTTTTATTTATCAAATCATCATAAAAACTGTTGAATACAACTCTCGGCATAAGAAGCCTATATATATGAAAACCATAAAACTCTAAAACAATAAAGATAATTATCTAAAATAACTAATAAAATAAATAATAAATATTTGGAAATATCCCAAATATTTATCTACATCAGTTACGCGAAGTGGTCTGGAGGGCAAGAGCAGCCCATGTGAATACCCTCGTGGCCCGGGAAAATGTTTGCAGCTGTGGGGATTCGAAGCCAGAATATTGAGGCCGAAACTCTCTCAGCTGGACATCGTCCCACCACTAGCCCACTTGTGCGGGTTACATCAAATGTTTCTTAAGTGACGCAATCCTTACAAGACATGGATTCTCATAAACTGAAATATAAATTGTCAGAAATTTAAAACAAGCAAATCATAATCATGTGTCATATATATAGCCTGAGGCAACTGAAATACTTTTTAGAACAAGTCTCAAACCAGTACATTTCGGGCAGCTCTGATTCAATACAAGTTTGATGGTCAACTATAGACAATCAAATGCGGCCCATGTTGAGGTTATCGGCCCACTACACGTTTTAACTTCAAATCAAACTAGATCATATATTTATTTTTATGGTATATATAAACATTTCAAAAATTACAATCTAATGGTTCCAATTTGACTAAGTAATAATACATTATTAAAACATTGTATTTCATCACTGTATTGTGTAACAGGGGCGTCGCAAAATATTGTGACCCGTAAACATTTTATTAATAGTTTATAATAAAAATTTTTGCTAAATTTGGTGCAAAGTTATATACATTAAACAATTTATTCAAATTTTTAAGTTAATTTTTTAATGAAGAATTGAAAGGCTTATAACAATAGTCAATATAAATTATATAAATAAAATATATATTATTCTTGATTTATTTTAAATACATTTAAAACATGAATACATATATGTATAAATAATTTTCAGAAATAAATAATATCAATGATAGAAACCCAAAAATAATAATAATAATACTTTGGGCCACAGTAATCTTTAGTTTAATAAATAAGCCCATTAGATTTGTAGGCTATCCTTGTTTCCAATCATTATAATTTTAAATACTTATTTATGTTTCCAAACACTAATTTTTTGTACTTCAGCTTTAATAGTATAGACTAGATCTTGACCCGCGCACCGGCGCGGGTTTAACTTAATTTGGAAAAGCATAATATATTCATAAGTCATCGGTTATTACCGTATTTCAAAAACTATGATCGTATTGAATGTAATAGGACTGGGGTTTGATTTTGGGTTCAACTTTTGTTGGATTCTTTATGTTCGTAGTTTTTTTAATTCTACAGATATAAGATCTGNACTATGATCGTATTGAATGTAATAGGACTGGGGTTTGATTTTGGGTTCAACTTTTGTTGGATTCTTTATGTTCGTAGTTTTTTTAATTCTACAGATATAAGATCTGTTCTGTTATCTATATAAATTGATTTGCGTCCGGTTCGATTTGGTTTGAGCTGAGTTTGTTAATAATTATAATAACCGACTAATATCAGATAAAGTTTTGGTTCCAATATGATAACGGTTTGGTTACGATTTCTAGGATTAATTTTAGATCAATCGGGGTAAAACTGATTTTGGGGGGGGGATAGGTGTTTCGGATAAATATCCAATTACGAAAATAAAATTTTAATATTTTAGTTAAACTATTCAAAATATTTTGTGTCTTTATGATAATTTGAATAATGTAAAATACTTTAGATAAAATATATTTGAGTATTAAATTATTTGAAATGTAAATTGTTATTATCTAAAAAACTGATGTTATTTTTAATTTAGTCAACAATAAATAAAATTGAATATGGTCTTTATATAAAATATAAACTAAAAACACAAACTACTACAATGGACCAAATGATTAAAGCCAACCATAACATAAAATAAATTAAACAAAAGCCCAATTCTATTATAACAATGTTTAAAAGCCCAACCCCTTTAAACTTATAGCCAAACAACATTAAACTCTTTATTACTACTATTTAAGTTTTCAAACAAATCTAAAGAGTACTACAACTTTAATAAGATAGATGTTTCTTTAGTGACGTTATTCTTACTTACACCAGCAGGACATTAATTTAAAATTTAGCACAAAACACTTTAATTACTATTACGTTTAGTAATACGACTATGTTCTGAATCATATGATATCTAGATTTGCATGATTTGGTAGATGTATTTTCAATAGAAAAAGGTTTATGTATATTACATTTTATTATAGTCTACTGGTAATCAGTTCCTTTCATTTTTTCCATGTTTTATCATTGGATTTTAATACTAGACAGCTACGTCTTATTTATTTATATTGTAGATCTTAATTTGGAAGTGTTGGGTGGGGGGATAACTTGTAAAATAATACACTTTTAGACTAGAGAGCAATAAGCACCGTGGTCCTCTCCTTGTGAACACCTCTACTTTTGAATTTTCATATTTATGGTAGTTGCGTCGATATAGTCGTAGGTATTACTCCAACTAAAATCACTCTAACTAAAATTATCTTATAAATTATATTACTTGTGACTTTGTTGATCATTTATCTACCCTTTTGGTAGATGTCCTCAGACAAGTTTGACTCAACACATGTAATAATACAGTTTTAAATTCTAAACAAGAAGTGTACAAACTATATTATGTATAAAAAACTATACTATATATCCCATGAACAAACAAAAAGGAATTATTTAGTAAGAGTATTGGATTATAATATACAAAAGTTGCTATGGCCCTTTGGGAATTTTTATTGCTGGTTGTTGCCAACGAAACTTTTGTTGGCCGATTTTAACATTATTCAGTAAATTTCATGATAAGTTTCTGAAAAAAATCAGATGCACATAAAAAGCCATTTATATCAATATGAGAATTGACTATTTGAAAATAAAATTATAATATATAAATTTTTAATATCAAATTTTGTTAGAAAAAACCCAAAATCATCTAAACATTAAGATTATAGAGTGGTCTAATTAAAGTTATAAGTAAATTTCAATTTAACTAAAATCAAATGACTTCAAAATTATATTGAATATATCTTATATTTGTATTTTTCATTTTGTTTATGATTATAAAGTAGGAAAATAAATATATTTTTATTATATAAATTAGAATTTGCTATTTCTTTTTTTTTGGCTAAAATTTGAGAAATTGCTACTTTTTGTTCATAAAATATCTTGTGAAATGGTGGTTTCTATATACAAAACTAGATATAATTATGTTTCTATGATAAATATCCCGACATATTGTATGTAAAAACCCATAGTAGGTTATGCTCTATATTATATTTGTTTAAACAAGAAAAAAGAAACAAAAATAGCAAAACACGTATTAGACAATACATGTTAACCCATACATATATGAGATCATTCATCGTTCACTTGTCACTATTACTTGTTAAGAGTAATAAATGAAGCAAGAATTTAGGAAACGGAGAAACAAGGAAGATGGATCATGTGAGTCACCTCACCGCTCTCCTCCCTCTATCTTCACATCCAAAACAAAAGCCAACAAACACCATTTAACAAAATTATATATATTTTAATATAAAAATTTGGAAATATTGTTAAAGAACAAACAGAAAAAAATGAAAAAGAAGCCATAAAGTTTTTGCAACGAACCCTACCTTCTTCTATGTTATTTTCTACTCCTCTTTTTAAGTAACCACTTTATTTATCTCTCTGTCTTTTTATTTATTGTTTTGATTTGTATTTGTGTTGAGAGATTCATTCAATGGCTTCAAGTGCTTCAAAGTTCATAAAATGTGTGACTGTTGGAGATGGCGCTGTTGGTAAAACATGTATGCTCATCTGCTACACCAGCAACAAATTCCCTACTGTGAGTTAGTTCATTCATTACATCTCTTTTGTCCCTGTCTGAAATTTTGATCAGGAATCTCAGATTTAGTTCAAAGTTTCAATTTTTATCTCATGGGTATCTCCAATTCACTGAAAATCTACTTGGGTTTCTCAAATTTTAGCTTCCCCTTGTCTTAAAAATGTTCTTAGAATCTAACTAGGTATTCAAAGTTAGCTTCTTTTTCTCATGGGTATCTCTAATTCACTGAAAATCTAACTGGGTTTCTCAAATTTTAGCTTCCCCTTGTCTTAAAAATGTTATTAGAATCTATTTTGGTATTCAAAGTTAGCTCCTTTCTCTCATGGGTATCTCCAATTCACTGAAAATCTATTTGGGTTTCTCAAATTTTAGCTTCCCCTTGTCTTATAATGTTCTTAGAAACTATTTTGGTATTGAAAGTTAGCTCCTTTCTCTCATGGGTATCTCCAATTTACTGAAAATCTATATGGGTTTCTCAAATTTTAGGTTCCCTTTGTCTTAAAAGGTTCTTAGAATCTATTTTGGTATTCAAAGTTAGCTTCTTTTTCTAAGGATTGGGTATGAAGTAATATTTGTGTTATCTCGTTTGATTTGGCCTATTCGAATTGTGGATTGATTTTGTTGTAAACAGGACTACATACCAACAGTTTTTGACAACTTTAGTGCAAACGTTGTAGTTGAAGGCACCACTGTTAATCTAGGACTATGGGACACTGCTGGTAATGAACGAACACTCATCCATATGTCAACTTCTTTGTAATTTGATTTGATTTGAGAGATTGTTGCATCTGGTTGTGTTTTTTGTTTTGCAGGGCAAGAAGACTATAACAGATTAAGGCCTTTAAGTTACAGAGGAGCAGATGTTTTTGTCTTGTCTTTCTCATTGGTTAGCCGAGCTAGCTACGAGAATGTCTTTAAAAAGGTTTGATTTAGGAAACTTGATTCATCCTTTACTCTTATATCAGAGTATCTTAGTCATTTCTAAAATTTATATGAGTGTTCTTCTTGAATCAGTGGATCCCTGAACTCCAGCACTTTGCCCCAGGAGTTCCTTTGGTTCTTGTTGGTACCAAATTAGGTAAGAAACTGATTAGCATTTTACTAACCATTCACATGCTTATGATTCTTACAACATTGACTTAGATCTCCGTGAAGATAAACATTATTTGGCTGACCATCCTGGACTATCTCCTGTAACTACTGCACAGGTTTGATCATCTCACGACTCTGTAGTTTCCATATGATTCCTTTATTTAAAGGCTTTATGTATGAATAAACATTCTGATGTCACAGGGAGAGGAGCTGCGTAAGCTAATTGGAGCAACATATTACATTGAATGTAGCTCAAAAACTCAACAGGTATGTTCTATACTATACAACTCTTCTCATTCAGATAGACAGAGCATTGAAGGTTTTACGTTTTACAGAACGTGAAAGCAGTTTTTGATTCTGCGATTAAGGAAGTGATCAAACCTGTGGTTAAACAAAAGGAGAAGACAAAGAAAAAGAAGAAGCAAAAGTCACATCATGGATGTTTATCGTGAGTGTATAGATAACAGACGTTAACAAAAACTCTGCTTCATTTGAAAGATACTGATTTTTTTACCTTTCTTTTTTGGACAGGAACATTCTGTGTGGGAGGATGGTGACTAGGCATTGATGATGATCTTAAATTCTACTTTTGAGTTTGTGTGATAAATTGAGAAACATATATATATAGATGGAATCATGGAAGAAAGATTATTAGTCTCTAATCAATCAATAGTTTACATTGAAGAGAGAAAGAGAGAGATAGTGAGCTTACTATTATTATTAACTCAATTATGTTTATTTGTTTCAAACCTGTTATTGCAATATATTAGTCATTTTCTTGTAACAAATAATACAAGGTTGCAAATGTGGATCATTCGATCAACCACAAGTAGAATAATCTACAAAAGAGTTGTTGACTGTATACAAACTATGGCAGAATTTATGTCATAGCATTTTTCTAACATTTAACCAAATTTCACTATAATTTGAATTAAATTTAAATTGAAGTTAAGTTTGAAATTCAGTCTTCTAAACATTAGGAGATTAACCACTAACTTCTATTTATTTAAATTAATTAAAGAAGCAAATATTCCATATATCTATGGAAACTAATACCTACCATATTTTTGTCAAAGGATAATTCTGATTTTTATGCCAATTATACTTATCATTTGATTTGTATATAATTTTTGTAAATAATATTAAAAGATCGAATATAGGTATATACATGAAGTTTTTTAAAATATTATTTACTATGTAATTTTCTACATAATACTAATATGACAATTTTGAGTGTTCAAAAATAATTTAAAATTTATCATAAAATTAAATTTTAGATCTAAAATAAATAAAAATATAAACATAGCATTAATTATTAAAAATAAAGGAAACTAATATTATCATATCAATTTTTTTGTCTTTTTCTATTATCATGGTTTCGTTTTCTTTAAATGACATAGTAAAAATTTCATTAAAAACTGTTGTGTATTCCAATAGTCACCTATTTGTTTGTGCATTTTGACTCAATATAATTTTATGTTTATGGTAACTGAATTATAAGTGATTAGTTGAATGAAAATACAAGTTATATAAGTTTAAAGATATTGCTGGGATAAATTCATATTCAAACAATATAAAATAATCATTTATAAGGGTAATTTCATATAAATTAATTCAATAATTCTTTTAATATTTTCATTTCTTAATTTTAAGTTTGGAAATATTTATATTGATTGACTCAAATAAGAGTAATTGTAGCCCCTTTTGGAGCTTGGACTCCGGAAGAAACTATATTGGCCAGGTTTTAGTCAAAGACCAAAACGTATAGTTTCATCTGAACATCAAGTAACGTATTTCAAATGGGCCGGAGAGCCAGTCTTAACAAACTTGGGCCTTCTTTCTCTGGTAGACATGTAAAGGTTGAAAGATAAACAATGCCACACTTATACATCACGTCACAAATGAGAAAACTTGTAGATGAGTTATTTATTCGAGTTGATGAGATCGGGGTTACTATACAACCTTTTTTTTGGTATGAAACTGGGAGAAAGCTCCCAACCTTTATTTAAAAACTCAAACTACCAGCTTACAAATGAGCTTGTCGTGGCCACACAGAGCCAGCAACATCCTCTTGCAATAAAACAACAACTTCATTCGGAACATCATCTAAACTATGAAAACCAAAAGGTAAAGAAAATGCAAGGTTAGCCAACCCGTCAGCTAAGCGGTTACTATACAACTTTTTTATTGGTATGGGACGCAGAGAAAGACAGGAGCAGGCTGGCTCGTAGATCTAAACCAACCATGAGCCAACCTTTCTTTCTCTCTTTTTGCTCATAAAAATTCACAATCCTTACTAGAGTTACGTGAGTATACTGTATAGTGTATACTACTACTATTTATATAAAACAGCACTACTGTATATAAAACTAAATGTTAATAAATTATGTTTATAAGTTTTGGTAATAGTGTATCAATCAAACCCATCACCGAGTAAAGAAAGGCACATGAGAGTGTTCTATTGTGTGGGTACGCCACAAATCTTCCTCTCACATCCATGTGCACCTCTCTCCCACTTTTTTCCCTTTTTGGATTAAACTAATTTGATTATTTAAAAGAAATTCCGATTACTAGTTGTACCATTAATTCCACAACAACAAAAAACCATAACTGATAGAAATTGACTTCAAACTACAAATGATAATCATGTAGTAAATGGTAGTCAATATCAACAACTTGCGAGTCTCCAATCTCAATGATTATGTGGTCGTTCTCCATACTTTTATAAAATAAAAATACTATGAAAACTCGCTTTTTACGTTTTGGCTCAAATACCTTTTAAAAGTTTGTCCTAAAATACTTGATTCGCTGATTAGTGGTTTAATTACTACACTGGTATAATGTTTCAAACCAGATTCTCAATCACGTGCACAATTCCTTCAGACAATATTTAGCTGGTTAGTCATCAATTAATCACGAGAAGAAATAATTGAATGCATATCTCGTTTCAAAATATAAACATTCAAAATTTCAAGGTTGAATTTGCATTAAAGGCTCGCATGGATAATGTGTGTAAGACGTTGGGTTAAAATTTGAAGAAACTCAATTCAACCAAACAGTCATGAGATTTTACATGTTTATATTTTGATTAGAAACATGTAGCTGATCAATGCAACAGTTGAAATGGTACATGCATACGTGGAAAGTATTAGTCTAAACATGAATTGTCTTCTGTTTTTACTGGTTACATTTCTAACAAAAATACTATAAAAATATGTTTATACATTGCAAAAATGTTGGCAAATATGCATAATATAAGGTGAAATTAGGTCAAAACATTTCTGTTAGCTAGTTATTACCATAAATTAATTCGAAAACGATGGCATCACGTGGTGATGACAAAACGTTGAATTATAATTTCATTAGAACAAACAAGAGTAAGTGTCGTATAGAAACTCAAAGTCACCACATTATCTCTAGTTTTATAATGCTTTATGTATGTGATTAGTCCCAAAGATTACCATATTTGAGTATTTGTTTTTTTCTTGTTCCTATGATCCAATCCAACACTTCTGAAAATTTATTTACAGAAAGTAATGAAAGAATGAATTATTGTTTGCCAAATTTCAACAACTTGAATTATGAAAACTTTTAGCTACAATTTCACAAAAATTCCAAGCCTGTAGAGATGGTGTTTAACTTTAAACTTTAGCAACTTTAATTAGTAGTAAGAAAAAGACTAGGACTTTTCAAAAAATGCAAACTTTAATGGAAAAAAAAAGATTCCTCACGTCCTTTTGTTTGTTCACATCCCTTCTCCATTTAATTATTGATCATTTTTTGTTGGTCAAAATTAATTAATCAATTTATTACTCCCTTTCCTCTCAAGCTAAACACTTGATTAATTTATTCAGACGGTGTAATTTTCAGCACCGCCCTCTCTGATTGATACATTGTTCCTGTTCAAACTCTATGATTACTGTTGACTCCTCAAAATATTATTCTATCTATTCTGATAGTAGGAATAGTAATTTTAGTAATCAATCCTGGTTTTATTAAATTGGCATTTAAAGTTGGTTCTCATAAAGAATATTAATAACCACTCCTAGTGAAGCTTCAATTCCAGATGCAGAATAATCCAATCAAATTACTAATTTCACACACTGTTCATTCATATAACACTAAGTTACTAAAACTTCTTACTACTAATAAGCTGATTAAATTGCTAATAACAACATTGATGTATGTATGTCCACATTGCATGATTCATTAGTAGTTTGACTCCAATTTTAACTTTTTTTACCTTTTTTTCACCTCGAGTTTTGCAGAAAATAAAGCTGCTTTTTCTCTCTTTATATGTGGCTTTTTACCTTTTTGTCCCTGAACCTCACACACACAAACACTACTCTCTCTTGCTGTTAATACTTGTTTTCCTCTGCTTGTCTTTTCTTTCTTCTTCCACTTTTCTCCAAGAAGCTGCCACTGGTTTGTGCTTCTGTTTACACATTGTAGATTCCACAATCTAAGTGAAACATTATTCTTTCTTCTTCATTGTTGTTTTTTTGCAGAGTGAGAGAGAGAGAGAGGAGATGGCAGGTGGAGGTGGAGCTCCAGCAGCGAAAGCAGACGAACCACAACCACATCCTCCAAAAGATCAACTTCCCAACATCTCTTACTGCATCACTAGTCCTCCTCCTTGGCGTAACCTCCTAAAGCTCTTTCCTTTTTTAGATTTCTAAGTTCAGAAAATAAAAAAACTCTAAAGGTTTAGTTTTTTTTTTTTTTTTTTTGCTTTAAAACAAGAACTCTAGCTATGTCCAGGACCACTGTTTCTTGCCTTATTTGTTGAAATATATTGCAAAGATTTGTACTTTTTTTTTTTTTTTGTCAAGATGCTGTCTCTAGATGTGTTTCTTCGTGTAATGAATATAAACATTTGTTTGATGTAACTGTCTTAGCTTCATTAGTTTCACATGTTTTGTTCCCCTTGAAGTTGTTAGCTAAACGGTTTGAAGACGGTTAAGACTGTTCTTGCTCTTGTTTCTGTGTTTGTTTTGCATTCATTTTTTTATTTTCAATGAGTTGGTTTTGACTTCTTACACTGTGTCTTTATGGTTGTGTGTGTTTCAGCTGAAGCTATTCTTCTTGGCTTCCAACATTACCTTGTCATGCTTGGGACTACAGTTCTCATTCCTACTGCTCTTGTTCCTCAGATGAGTGGTGGTTATGTAAGTCTTCTTTCATGAGTTTTTAAACTTATACTAGGAAGACACATAATAAAATGGTGATGTTGATCTGATTTACAGGAAGAGAAGGCAAAGATGATTCAGACCATTCTCTTTGTTGCCGGCATCAACACACTGCTTCAAACAACTTTTGGGACTAGATTGCCTGCTGTTATTGGAGCTTCTTACACTTTTGTGCCAACCACAATATCCATCATCCTCTCTGGCAGATTCAGTGATACTTCAAACCCTATAGATGTATGGTGGTGACCTTTTGTTGTGGATTTTGCTTCTAATTATGACTCTTTCTTGGTGCTAATTATAGTCATTTTTTTAATTTTCCTTCCAGCGGTTTGAGAGTATTATGCGAGCAACACAAGGCGCATTGATTGTTGCTTCAACTCTACAGATGATTCTTGGTTTCAGTGGTCTCTGGCGCAATGTTGTTAGGTTAGTCTAAAGGAGGATATAGTCTCAAACATTCGTCTTCCTTACACAATATTAGAGAGTAAAATCAATGTGTATTTCATTTTCAGGTTCTTAAGTCCTATCTCAGCTGTTCCACTGGTGGGTCTCGTTGGATTTGGGCTCTATGAGTTTGGTTTTCCAGGAGTAAGTCTACTCTAGATGCACTGAAACACTAAATATCAAATAATATAAACGAGAAGGCGCTTTCAAAAGTTAATTTTCTCTCTACATTTCAGGTTGCTAAGTGCATAGAGATTGGGCTGCCTGAGCTTCTTATTCTAGTATTTGTTTCACAGGTACTATTTTAACTTTACTAACACAATAATGAATCTGTCTTTACCTCCCAAAATAGCGTCTAGATAATTTTGTTTACTGTCTACTTGATTTCATTTTCTGGATGTTTCCTATTTGCAGTACCTGCCTCATGTAATCAAATCAGGGAAAAATGTGTTTGACCGGTTTGCTGTGATATTCGCCGTGGTGATTGTATGGATCTATGCTCACCTTCTCACAGTTGGTGGAGCCTACAATGGTGCTGCACCAACTACACAAACAAGCTGCCGAACTGATCGTGCTGGCATCATAGGTGCTTCCCCATGGTAAGTGATTACAACTCAGCTCCCAAAATAACAACTTCAAGTTTAAGCAGAACAGATAAGCAAAGGATAAATGTGATTAGAAAGTGATATTCATTGGATTTGTTGACCTTTTCAGGATAAGAATTCCATGGCCATTCCAGTGGGGTGCACCTTCGTTTGATGCTGGAGAGGCTTTTGCAATGATGATGGCTTCTTTTGTTGCTCTAGTTGAGGTATGTTATGTGACTATATGCTTCACATTTTAATATTTCTTTTGCTCTTATTCTATTTATTTATTCATTTTCTTCNATTCATTGGATTTGTTGACCTTTTCAGGATAAGAATTCCATGGCCATTCCAGTGGGGTGCACCTTCGTTTGATGCTGGAGAGGCTTTTGCAATGATGATGGCTTCTTTTGTTGCTCTAGTTGAGGTATGTTATGTGACTATATGCTTCACATTTTAATATTTCTTTTGCTCTTATTCTATTTATTTATTCATTTTCTTCTTTCTTGTTTCCTTAAAGTCAACTGGTGGTTTTATTGCTGTCTCAAGATATGCAAGTGCAACAATGTTGCCACCTTCTATTCTCAGCCGTGGAGTTGGCTGGCAGGTAACTTGGCCACACTTAAGAGACTATAATGTTGCAAATGATATATATTCATTCACTAGCTTCTGAACTGATTATGTTTTATGGATCAGGGAGTCGCTATTCTGATATCAGGATTGTTTGGTACTGGTGCTGGTTCCTCTGTCTCTATGTAAGCATCTCTCAGATGATACTTAATTATTTTTCTCTGGATATTTTATCATGAAAGTTGGTTATTGCAGAGAAAATGCTGGACTATTAGCTCTGACAAGAGTTGGTAGTAGAAGGGTTGTTCAGATAGCTGCAGGCTTCATGATCTTCTTCTCTATTCTCGGTAACTTTATAAGTTCAAAATCTGTTTTGTTTTGAGATTGTATCTGTACTGATGATCTTATATCATGTTTAATGCAGGAAAATTTGGAGCTGTGTTTGCATCAATCCCTGCACCAATAATCGCTGCTTTATACTGTCTCTTCTTTGCCTATGTTGGAGCTGGAGGTTTAAGTTTTCTTCAGTTCTGCAACTTAAACAGCTTCAGGACAAAGTTCATCTTAGGCTTCTCTGTCTTTCTTGGTTTATCAATCCCACAATACTTCAATGAGTACACTGCAATCAAAGGCTATGGTCCTGTCCACACAGGAGCTCGTTGGGTATGTAGAAGTTAACCAAACTCACTGATTCTTTGGTCCTGAGCTATTGTAATGAAGCTTATTGTATTACTTGACAGTTCAATGATATGGTGAATGTACCATTCTCCTCGGAGCCTTTTGTTGCTGGTGCGGTGGCTTTCTTCTTGGATAACACATTGCATAAGAAAGATTCATCGATAAGGAAAGATAGAGGGAAGCATTGGTGGGATAAGTTTAGATCTTTCAAAGGAGATACAAGAAGTGAAGAGTTCTACTCTCTTCCTTTTAATCTCAACAAGTATTTCCCTTCAGTGTAAAAAAAAAGGGAAGAAGAGCCAAAGAGTTTACCAGAAACAGAAAAGAATATTGTGAAAACTCAAGATATCTTCTCATATATATTATTGTTGTTTATTCTAATCTAATACTTTTGCTTTTGTAAATCCAAGGCAACGTTGTGATTTTGATTAGTTTCTTAATAAGTCATTAGTTTGATCTTCTTAAGAAGTCTTTGATTAGTTTCGCGACGTAAGTAAATTAATTATTGCATACTAATGATTAATATCATTTTCGAACATTTTAACTAATAAATTTCATTGATAAATTTAGCTATAATTCAACATTAAATCTAAATTCAAATTAACCTTTAAATCTAATAAAATAAAAATATTCAAAAGAAATCAACAATCTGAATTATTATTTTCAATAAAAAATTTTAATCAAACTCTCATTATGTTATTAAGTTAAATTCAGCTTAAAATCTAATAACATAAAATATTCAAGAGAAAATCACCAATCTAAAATTATTATTCTTTCTATAAACTTTCTATATCCCTCAGACTCTCACATCATTTAACTTTCTAACTAGTGCTATATTATGTCACATTTATACAACTTTACAAACTTTAAAACCAATTAGTAAAAAAGACAGTTTATCTCACACGTGCGCAGTCACCGACTTACATAGGGGTAATATGGTCATTCACAGAGTTTCATTATCCTTTAAAAAAAAAAAAAACTAAACCTTTCGTCTCAATCCAATTTAGGGTTTTTGAGAATCCCCAATTCTTCAATTTCCAATTCTTTCAATTTCCTTCATCTCCCAATCATGATTTCAGATTCGATCGCCAACGCTTCTCCTAACGCGAAAAAGAAGAAGAAGGTAAATTTTTTTTTTTTTTTTTTTGTTATCCTTAAAATCTCTGGATTAGGGTTTTCTTAACTGCATTGCGTTTTTTTTTTTTTTTTGCAGAACAATAAGTCGGCGAAGATGATTAAACTCGGTCTCCGCCGTGACCAATGGCTTTCTCAAGGTATCATCACAATAAAGCTTCAATCTTTATTCTTTTTTTCAATTAAAGTTGTTTCCTTTTGGTTAATGTATTGATTATGTGTTTTTGTTTTTTTCACTATTAGTTGCTGTGACCAATAAGGAGTGTAAAGATGAGAGTAGGGAGAAGCCTGATCATAGAGTTAACCCTCTAGAGAATCTAGATAGGCTTGGTAGAGAAGAGAATCTTCATCATGAGAGCTTTATGGAGTCACCATCAAGCAGCTCAATGGGAGGGACAGATATACTCACTAACTTCAGTGAGAGAAGCAGCAGGAGAAGTAGTAGTAGTAGTGGTAGCAGCTCTGAAGATGATGGGTGTGTAGATGATTGGGAAGCTCTTGCTGATGCATTAGAAGCTGAGGAAGAGGAGGAGAATGAGAAAAAGAAGCTCAAGGAGGAAGAGAATGTTGCACAGTCATCTGGTTTAGATGTTGTGGGTGTTGGAGATGCAGCATCAGCTTGGAGACAAGATGATGACCATCGTCCTCAGGGGTTATTACCTAATCTGGGGAAGCAGCTTAGTTTCCCTGAGCTGGACAAGCGTTTCGCCGCTGTGTCGATGATACCTTCTTCGTGTCCTATCTGTTATGAAGATTTGGACTATACGGATTCTTGTTTCTTTCCGTGTCCTTGCGGGTTTAGGCTCTGTCTTTTCTGCCACAAGACTATTAGCGATGGAGATGGGCGGTGTCCTGGATGCAGGAAGCCTTATGAGCGGTTCATAGCTGAGACTAGTCTTCAAGATGGTGGTTTAACAGTTCGGTTGACTCGTTCGTCTCGCATGTTTTGAAGGTTTTGAGAAAAAGACATGTTGTTTCTCTGTTTGGTTCTTTTTAGGTAATGTGGATATAGTGTTGTCTTTTGGGACTCAGAGAACTTTGAGCTTTGTTTGCTTCTAAAGTCTGAAAACATTATGGTGATGATACTGATGTAGTATGATGTGTGAATACATAAAAAAAAATGTTACAGAATATTCCAATACATAAAAATAGTTTCAGTACTGCTATTTTAAGTTGTTTTGTCTTGCAATTATTCCTTGCCTGAACATATAAACTGGTTTCTCCAAGATTTGTTTGGCCTTGAAAATAAAGTTCAAAAGAAATTGATCTTAGTACATTGCTAGAGACTAGAGAGTGATCTAAGTTAAAGAAACCCAAAGTATTTGGTTGCTTATAAATATAACAACACTTTTGCACCTGAATCTTGAAGACTTCATATAATGTCTCAAAGTGATGCTTTTACAAACTGAAAACTTATGTTCTTTTAAGTAAAGATATCAACTCAAAAAAATCAAACTGCAGTTTCCTCTTGTTCAACGTTCTCTGTTTCCTCTTGTTCTGTTTCTTCAAGAGTTTCAACTGTAGGAAGAGGCGGTAGCAACTCATTCACAAGCTCTAGTATCCCCTCTATATCGATTCCCCGTTCATCAGGCTTCTCCAAAATCTACAAAAGCCAGCAACAATCATTAAACGCAAATGATAACTGAGATTTGGTTTAAAAGAAGAGCACACAAACCGGAGTCAATTCAACATCAGAAGATGGTCTAAGATTAATGATATTGAGAATCTCAGCTTTGGCTAGCTTGAAGTCTTTGCACTTGTCAGAGAATGTAGTAACACTCTCACGTGTTTGAGTGGAAGCAGCAGTCTCCATCAAATAATCATAAACCTAAGAGTTAAACAACAAAACTAATCTTAACTTTCACCAACTCTCTTTATAAGGAGGGTAATAGAGAGAGACCTTGTACTCTGATTTAGAAACTTTATCCTTAAGACCCATAACTCTTGTAGAAGTATCCTTAGATGCACCTCTTGAGTTAAGCAACTCAATAACTTCAAAGTTCGTAAGCGCACCTGCGTTTGCCTTCACTCTGCAAACCAATTCCCACATCAAAGTTTTGATTTCATAGAAAAAAAGAAAAAGGAAAGGACTTTGAGTAAAGAAATTGAAGATAGTTACATTTTGTTCTTCATCCTTGAAATTCAGACAGGACGATTAGGTTCTACTCCTGAGAAATTATATCGTTCTTGTCTCCTCGCCGGCAGAGGTTATGTCTGAAATCCCTAAGTCAAACGATTTGGTATTTTTGCGTTAAACTTTAGCTAGGCCCATTGGGCCTTGCAGGCGTCAGTTACAAGCCCAAAACTGTGTCACCGTAGCTATTATTTATGTTCAAAACACACAAAAATTGTAAATTGTAGGAAAAAAAAATTAACATTATAACTTTTTTTTTTTTTTGGATTCACGTATAACGTAAACGCATAAAATTCTGAAATGTTTGGAAGACGTAATTTTGAATAATATTACAGTGAGGTATATGATTTTTATCATGACCCAAAAGTAAATAGAACTAGTTTTTAACCCGCGTTTGAAAGCGCATAAATTTTTTATGATTAAAAAATTATATAATTGGGTTTTTGTCTTAATTTAAAGATTGTTTTGATATAAAATCAGTTCACCAAAATTTGTGGTGATGATTGTTTTTCATTAGTTTTTAGTTTCAATTTTTATTTTTAGATTTTGATTTTTTGGGTTTTAGTTTTTAAGTTTCTATTTTTGATTTCAGCTTTTGGTTTGAGTTTTTAGTTTTTAGATCCGCTGAGTTAGTTTGAACTGATATTACCAACAAACAAATCCCAAATAATCGAACATCTAATTTAAAACTGAAAAGATGACAAAAGCTTTTTTTAAAAAAAAAATTGCAATATTTTATTTTGTAAATAAAGAAAAGCAAAAAATATAACCTGCGTTTTCAACTTTTGGATTTGGATTTTAGATTTTAGATTTAGTTTTTGGTTTTGTTTTACATATTTTTTAAATCAGTAAATTATTTAAGAAAAATAAAACAATATATTATTTAAAAGTTACCATTGAATTTTTTTTTAAAAAAATGGATTGTTATTTAAAATAAAAATACATTATCATGCTTTTAAGTACATGATTTAAATAAATGATTAATAATAGACAATTTTGTTTTGTTAAAAGTCTTAAATACCTTTGGGCCTGAAAAAATAATTGATTTTTTGATCCATTAAGGTGAAAAGTTTATTCAATTTTTTTTTGGAGTTTTTCTTTATATCCCTTAAATAACCACCGGTTTAATTTAAATAATACAGTTCAATTAACTATATGACTTGTATTATTTATAACACTCTAGTAAATGTCCAAATTTAAATTACAATTTATATCAGTAGATAAAAAGAATAATTCTATTTTAATAGGGTAGATACTTCAATCAGAAACATAAGACTCAGAACAAGAAAAATAAAGATAGGTCCATAGGATTAGGCTCTGATATCACTTCTTCAGTCACAACCAGCTATCTTCAACCGTTTGCTCTTTCGGAAAGATAATCTTCCTACGAAATGTAAAAAAAAACATAGTGATGTTTCTCTGTTGTAAAGTCTATTAGAAACTTATCATTAAGAAAGAAGAAAAACTTGCCTTTAGCCGGTACAGTCGCAGCTTCTCGCACTCTTCAAAATGCTCAGTAATAGCCTCCCCCTGTTTTTTGCTTAAATGGTTAGAAAAATGTATTGATTACAAAAAGAGATAGAGAAAGAGATAGTGCTTACTTTAGAGATATGTT